AAGCAAAGAAACTATAAAAGGTATCCAGTACACGCTAGGCTAGAACTCTGCTGAAGCGTCTAAAGTATCCCCCCAAGTAAGACACAATTGCAGGTGCAAGTTTTCATCACAGGAATCCCCAGGTCTGCAACATTACTGTGACCATATGAGGGGCTCTTATTTGACACTTAGATTTTCAATATATAAAAAAGTTTGGTTTACTGAGGAGAGATAAGGAACTGAGTATTGACTTTGTATGTATATATTTGTATTTTCTTTGAAGTTCTACCTAGATACTTAAAGACCTAAAAAATTATCTCATATATGGGCCTCCCCGGTGGCGCAGCGGTTGAGCGCTGGGTTGCGAAGCTGCCCGCGGCCTCTGTGGCGCCGGTTCGATCCCCGGCTGCTCCCCGGCCACCGGAGGAGGATCCCACATGGTGCGCAGACCTCTCCTGCCACCCGCTGCTCCCCTCAGCAGTGTACTTCAGCCCTTCTGCCTGCTCTGCTCCCCGCTCTGGCTCTGGTGAATTCTCTCACCCTCCCGCGCTTCTGACTGTACCCAGTGCATGTATAAACAAAACAAACAAATATAATAAATAAATAAATAAATAATAAAAAACATGCCTCTATAAAAAAAAAAAAAAACTAAAAAAAAAAAATTATCTCATATCAAAATTGAAGATGTTTTTACTTAAATGACTAAATCATTCAACATATTAGTAATATTTTTTCACTTCTGATATAACAGAAGTATTTGTCACAACCACAACATTTTTGAAAAAGCAGGGAGGCGCCCAATGTTATTAGCTATCACTTGGTAAACTAAGTCCTAATTGGGAGGGAGCAAAGGAAAAAGAACACACACATTTAGAACATATAATATATTTCAAAAACTAGCATAACCCAGCATGTTAGATTGAAATATTCAGGCAATGGGCAATGAACTATACAAGCTGATTTTTAAAAAATATATAATTACCTCAAAAACTTAGATAATTAAGGTAGAAATACTGTAACCCAAATTATTTGCTAAATTGCCTCAATTCTCAACATATTTATTTACTTAGATTTATCTCATTTAATAAGCTTCTCATCCCATCTCAGGGCCCAGTTCCTAAAGTACTAATACCAACCATTTTAAGATTCCTCCACTCAGTTTTCATTCTGACAAGTAGACCAAACATAAGAGTCATAAGACATACTTCTTTTAATCCAAATTTTCTCTTAATCAAATTGATCACTTTGCACTTAAATTCCCCATTGTTCCCTCTCCTCCCAAATCCCATCTGCTTTGTCTTTTGTTAGTCAGTAGGGGGGAGTGGAATAATATATATCGCTTATGTTCTGTCACCTCTGGTGGAATAAGAGAACCATCACATACTCTGAGAGAGGGCTACTGGTGCTTAGATGCTGGGCATGTTGTGTTAACATACATTTGAAAACATGTTGAATTGATACCCTCAAAACATATATAATTTTGAAGTATATGAGAACATAAAATCTAAATTCTAGATTTGTTGAAAATCGTGAATTTCAAAGAATCAATATATATGTACATGGATTTCATAGAGGTGACTATGTACAGGTGGGTAGATACTGAAAATAAGATTGTTCTTTGAAATCATATTAAACTGTTGAGTTGTGACTGGAATAATAATGTTTGCCTTTAAGTCATTACATTCTACATTTAATGAGTTAAACAAATAAAAACTAGTACTGTAAAACAATGGTACCTCAATAAAAATGATTTAATTAAGAAAATAAAGAAGCATTACAATGCACCAAAATTTTCTTGGCTCATTTTTCAGTCAAAATCTAACTTACAGCTGCATTGGCCAGGGTTTCTATGACAAGCTAACAACTAGACATGAGTTTATATTTTTCACTTACATACGGTGTATTTTGATACATTATGTTGCTGCCAATAATTATGACTGATCTGCACCCAACCTGCCCTTCAGCATTTTATTAAATCTCTTCAGCAGTGACTCATAGTTCACACAAAATGTACATGTGTGTTAACAAGTTTTAAGAAATCCAAGAAGTAAGACACAACTTTTTAAGAGTCGTGGCTAAATTAAGTGAAGGGGAAATGCTAAAATACTAATAAAGATTTTTTTAACTGTTATTTTCAGAAGGAAGTAACTTGGGCTGGTGCTCAGTACAGGACAAATGTTTACAAGTGCTCAAAAAAAGCTATGTGCATTTTTTTATTATGATAAGGTAAGTTGAAAACCACTTCGTGGTTATGGTTTAGTCTTCAAGAATGTCACAGTTCAAGATTCTCTGACTTCTTCGGTTTCAATACAGTACTGTCTGCATTTCCCCATTTTTGTATCGTATTTCCTACTTAAAGCCTAAAGAGAAAAAATTTTATTATCAGTTCCCTAAAAGAAAAACATTTGTATGAAATTAAGAAATGGATAAAACACAAATCAAATATGGAGAATGTCATTATCCATCACTTTAAGAGAAACCATCTTTCTCGCAACTTTTAGTTACTTGAGGGAAATTCTTTTCTACAAAGTTGTCAGAGTTGAAACAGTTGCCAAAAGCAAAGCAATGAGCTGCAAATAAAAGTCATTTCTAATTTCATCTAGAAGTAGGAGAACTCACACTGCCCAGTGCCAGTTGGGAACAGAATTGTGTTTATGATTCACATAACTAAGTAAAGAGGGACTAAGTTTTATGCCTCTGCAAAGTTGAATCTCAGTGTCAAAAAAAGCCAAGGAAGAGGTCTGTACATGCTTTGGGACAGTATGTTATGCTATGTATTATAACTTTTTTTTGAAGACCCTTGGTTTTCCCTTCTAATTGCTAGACTTAGCAAGTTGTGTTATGATCACTGGCTGTGCCCAGAATCTAGCAAGGTGACATCGACATCCTGCCTGGTGTCTCAGGAATGCCTGCCTGACCCTGCATCCACAAGAATAGCCCAAAAGGTGGCTCACCTGTAGGGAGCAACTTGTTTTGGAATTTGCTCTCTGGTAACAATGTTTATGGATGAAGTTTGCTAGCAACACTGTGGCGGAAGAGATGGCAGGTGTGATAGATCACCTGAAAGGCAGCACTTTGTCTTCCTTAACTAGAGAGCTCACCCTGCCACTCCTTGGCTCTCCAAACGGGAACATTTCCCAAGGAAATACATTTGTGCAGCCTCCAATCTTATTAAAATTGCCTCACCATCAGTTTAACTTTGAAAATATATGGAAATTCAGGTGTGCATGCAAAATTGATGGTTTACCCCATAAAATTGCAGACCATTTTGAAAAGCTAACTTCAAATATGTAGTATCCACAATCTTGATAGCCAATAAAAATTGGCAAGCCAAAAACCTCAGCAGCAACACAGCTCCTGGTAACATTGAGATAGAGCAAGTTTTCTGTTGGTTCCCTATCCACTTGACAAACAGGACTGCAAAAATTGATCTCCCAAGGCTGTAGTAAGGTCATAGAAATTGATAACCCTTACAAGCAATGCCTATGTGAGTCTGTCTGTGTCTTGCAGATAGTGCACTTTGTAAATTAATCCTCCAAAGGCAAATATATTGTAAGTAGCTTGTTATCTCGAAAATACTAAATTGAAGAATACATGGGATTATATTGACAGAAATTACATTTTCTGTAATGGGGTTTAATATATCTGAAATCTCTCCCAAAGGCTCCCAGGCTTTCTAACAGAGAAGGGTCTGTTAATGTAGGTGCAATGGACATCAAGAACAAATTTATTCACCAAAATGGATTAGGCCATGTAATCAGAGATTCTGTAATATTAATCTTTGACACTTATTGAACAGCAAGAAATACTTCTGTCTACAAACTAGAATTCCCAGCCCTCTTCTTTCCCCAGCCAGGCTTTGGACCTTTTCTGGATTTTACTTCAAAGAGGATAAGGTTTCCCCATGATAATCACTAATCTAAAAATATTGGGACAATTAATTAGATACACTTAGTTTTCGAGGCTATTGGATTTCCATACCCTTCAAATATGACTCTAGCTCTGGGTGATTGTATAAAATTTGGCTTTCAGCACATTCACAAAGGGTAATAAATCATACTTTCTCAAAGCCTCCTGCCGCACTGCCATACATTAAGTCAAAATATTGTGGGCTAGTACTTGGTACATAATCTTAGCTTCCCCCAAATCAGGAATTTACACATTTATTTAGAAATAGTATTGCACTGCCCTGAGACATATCAGGGTTTGAATAGCTTCAAAGTAGAAACATAATTTCTTCTTTTCAATAAATGGGAGATAGGAGGAAGGGAAACCCTCCTTGAATACATAGCCCTAATGAAGTCTAACTGAATTTAGTTATTCAATGAGTTTAAACCCCAACTGATATGTGATGGTGGATTTTCTTGTTTCATAGAAAATAGGATGATGCCCCGTGTAGTATCGATTATCTTGAAGGGGGAAAAGCTCCAAAGAGAGAAACATTTACTAGCCCTAGCAAATGTGAATTAGACACTTACACTATAGCTAAGATCTGCCCACGTATAAAGGAGGTGGAAAGAAATGCAGTCTTTCCCCCTTATCTGGGGTTTCAGTTACCTGCAGTCAACCTTGGTCTTAAAATACTACCTAAAATAAGATATTCGAGAGCGAGAGACCACATTCACCTGACTTTTATTACAGTATGTATTGTGACAATTGTTCTATTTCATTAATAGTCTATTGTTAATCTCCTGCCATGCCAAGTGATAAATTAAACTTGACCAGAGGCAGGTATGTAGAGGACAAAGCACAATGTATATGTAGACTTCCGTTCTATCCTTGGTTTCAGGCTTCCCTGGGGGGCTTGGAGCATATATCTCATGGAGAAAGGGAGAGTATGGTACAGTTCTTTCTTTTCCATATTAAGAAGCCTCTCTTGCTTATCATTCAAGGTTTGTTTTCACTGTAGTGTTCACCGGGAGAAAACAGCAACAACTGGGTGTGTCTTCTTCATGCAAAACATTAGCCGCAGGTTGCCAGAAGGGAAACCAACTGCGTGCGCAAGAAGCCAAGTGACTTACCAATTGTTCACTTGGAGGATGGTGAGTCCCGTGTCTTGTGCCAACTGCTTTTTCTGTTCTTCAGAAGGGTAAGGGTGCTGAAAGAGAACAAAAAAGATACATGGATGCATACAGACTTTGGAAAAAAAAATATATATATATGTATCTCATGTAGCTGGTGTAGGGCCTACCACACACTGGGCACCAGGGATTCCACAACAAATATGCATGAGCTGCAGAAAATGAGGTGTGTGCCCATCACATCACATAGAGGCTCTTTTGTCAATAACCTAAGTGTCTAGTGAAGTCTATAATTAAAGGTAAAAATGCTGAGGTGTGTCACTCTTATTAATGGAATACTACATCATCTAATTAATGGCAGTAAAAGACAAGCCAATTACAAAGATTAGTGAAGTGTATAAATAGCTACTTAGGATACTTGCAGAACCTTGATACTGAGTTTATCCTTTAACAGGTTTATTTGTTGCGAACACAAAAAGTTCAGTATGATCTTTATTGTATTTTCTTGGGTTAAAACAAGAATAAGCCCTTTTGACCATAGAAAAGTGTACCACCTTGGTGTAATATTTTTTACAGAAGCACACTTTTTTAAGGCTGGACCACTGAAACCAACAACCTCAGGTTAAGATTCCTAGCAGTTAAACACCATGTTAGAATGATATTCTCACTCTAAAACACCAGATTGCCGGATGCAAATATCAAAATTAAAGAGGATATCTTTTTTTTAGCCACTATTCATTTTAGCTCTTCTGCAAAGCACAAACATGAAATTCAACCAAAGTTGGTTTCATATCTGAATGTCAACACATGCTGAGATGCTGAACACAGGCCAGTATGAGGTCAAAGATCAGCATATTTTGTGTGCGAAGAACAAGCCCAGCTATGTTCCCCATGAGTTAAATAGATAAAAATGTATTATAGGATTAGCTACTAAAATGAAATTCATATCCTCTCCAAAAAAATGTTTAGAATTCTACAGAAATTAGTTTTAGCACAAATACTTTTTGTTCAATAGTGACAATACCTGTATTTGAAATATACATTTCTAAGGCCTACAAGGGAAGCTGAGGCTGCGGCTGCGGTTTCCATATTATAGAGTCATTGACTAATTTGAAGCACTGCAAGTTAGTAAGAAAGCTATTAAAAAAAAAAAAAACTGTATTGAGAGCCAACCCTTTTTTCTGTCATGAATGGGAAAGGGCACCCCGAACTCTCAATTTAACTATCCGTGCCATCAGAAACTAAATTCTGGTCTATTGAATGTTAATTAACATAGCTTTTAATCTCATTAATAATGTCTGATTAGATGCTAAGAAGGCTCGTTAATGACCACTTCAATGCTCTTACATGTAAGTTTAAATGTTCTATATCTATACACATGGGATTCGTTTGTGGAAAGCAGAGATGCAGCAATTTTTCCCATAAGCATTGTCTTTGATTGTCACTTAATCAATAAAAATACAATTAGAATAAGACTTTGCTTTCATGGAATATAGTGCCTTTCTCTAAAGAGGTCTGAGTATATTACAGACAGGATGGTAATTAATCCCCATTATATCCCTTTGAGGGACATAAATGGAATCTATTGTCCCTCCTGTTTTACAGGTGAGGAAACTGGCCAGGGGAAGGCACAGTCAGCAGTGACACAACTCAGTGATATTTCCCGCTTCCCTCCCAGTGTCTAAGCTTCACCATGACCAAAGGATGTGACAAACATCTTTCATGATCTCCACTCATGTCCCTTGATGGAAAACTGCAGATTGCCCACCTTGGCCTGCAAGGGGCCGCACCATCTAGGCCCGTCCACCCTCCAGAGCTTTATGCCTTTTCTCACCCCACCCCACTCTTCGGCCCCCCTGCACATTTCTCCCAACTCTCTAATCCCAGGCTCTGGCTCCATTGTCACCTCCATGTCTCAGCTCCAATGCCAACTTTCCACAGACTTCCTTCTCACGCACATGTTGCCCGTTTTCTTTTTTCCCCTAATAGCAAACATTACTCTCTGAAACACCTGGTCTGAGTATTTGCTTCCTTACTGATGTGTCTCTGCCCGCTCACTTTCCAACTTTAAAGTCCGTACCTTTCTCATTCATCATCCTCCAAGCCCAGATTAGCACATAATAGGAAAACAGCAAATATTCGTGGAACAGAGGAATGGCTATAACTTGCCATGCTACACAGATACTCTCCACTCAGATACAACACAAAAATGTATTCTAATTTTTTTTTTCAAAACCCACTGGAAACATAAGCAATCCAATTTGAGATCCACAACATTACTTTCCTTACTTCATTCCTCAAATTGATGTTGACCCAGAGTTTTCAAATAAAAGTATATAAACCTCATAATAGAATAAGATCATAGGTACAATCACCCTATTCAACATAATGCTCACTGTCACAGGCAAAACCTCATGATTAGATACTAAAAGCAGTCCACTTCTCTAAAGTTTAAAATATAATTCCCACTACAGTAAGCTTTGCCACACAATACAAGCCAAATGAATCTTTTATCATGTGGTTTGATATAGTAGTTCCATGTCTACAACAGTTAAAGAATTGTACATAAGTAAATGTGATCCTATTAATTGTGCAAATTATGTTGCCACTCCCCAACTATGAGACTTTGCACAAGGGACAACTTTTCTAATTCTCAATTTTGTCATCTACAGGCCTACGATGCATCAAAGATAGAGGTTATATAACCAAGCAATGTTTATGTACTATAAATCTGATTTTGAAATATGCAATCTTGAGCACCCAGCTTCCTATGGCACTATTTGCCATATAAAACTGCACACAAGATGTTTCTAATCTATAATATTTTGGGTAATAATATTTGCTTAAAAGTTTGCAGGTCCTTTGGAAGTCTATTTCAGTGTGATTTTTCAATAGAATAAATAGCTATGTCAACATTCTCTTCACTACAGCTGGATGGCAATACCTTTTGGTTAGTCATCTTAATATTATGACCAATATTGGATAAAAATTAATATTTATGCCATTTAACTTTAGTTAACTTTGAAAATTGAGAATTGTCAGTTATTTGTTTTGTGTTTTCAAGACAAATTTTGCATGCCTGTGTGTGAACAAGTTTTACATCCATTCCCTTATAAAGCAAATGGAATTCACATTTTATTTATGCTAGTGGTGGTGTCGGAAAATTCTCTTTGAATCATTAGAATTACCTGAATCATTACAACTTCAAGGAGCAATCAGATGGTCCTCGAAATTTCAGTGCAAATTTAGGTTATTTCTTCACATCATGCAGTCTCTGATTTCATAATTTAAAAATCAAAAAAATAAGAAAGTTCTACCCTTTTTTCTATCACTTTTCATGTGATCTGATTTTAAGTAATTGGAACAAACTGTGTCTAATTTCATGCAGGATAATTGTTAGGCTGCCTCAAGCTATGGAGACCCAGAACTCTGTTTCCATTAAGCAATTTTCAGTTGTTTAGGTGATTATATATATATATATATATATATATATATATATATATACACACACACACACACACACACATATATGTATATAAATGTATGCATGTATTCACACACACACACACATGAAAGAGCCTGGATGAAATTAAATCTTATAATAATCTGGTCACTGTTAAGGGTGGAAAAAGGTATCAACACAATTTCTAAATCCATGTCCATAGCAGTTCAGCTGAATGTTTTTTCTTTTCCTTGTGGGTCTTGGTCTTATTGCCCCATGAACTTTCAATTCTCTGGCAAAAATCTTTAATTGCTAGAACCATGTGACAGTCATGACATCAGGCAGTTAGTCCATAGCCAATAATTCACAAAGCAGTAGTCTTTTTAACTGACATCCAACATATTTGAATATCTTAAATCCTATGCATCATTACTAGATAAGCTTTGGTGGACAGTATGAATTATTCTTTTGTAGATTCCAAAAAATTGACTTAACAAGAACCTGACATACCACAAGTAAGGCAGCTGCAAAAACATTCAAAGCCCTGTTGCTTTCTTCCCACAGGACCACTGAGGCCATGGGGGCAAAAAAGTTGTCATTTTGCAAGAGATAAAGAAAAGTGCCATTTTAGGAAGAAAAAGTGAGGAATTCATGCCAGCCATCGCAACTAAGTGCCTAGGTGAGCCCTTGCTGGACACCTTTGCTACTTATGACTGCATCTAAGCAGCAAGGACACTAGTTTAAGAAAGATCAGTGGGTCCTTGTGAAGCCAAGACGGATGGCACTTGCCAGATATACCAATCAACCTCATCACTTTGGGATATCAAAGCAAATTTGACCACAGTCCAATAGACAGTGACAGGAGACCTCGCCTTTGTTGTGTACATTAGCCTCATGCCATTATCTCTTAAAAGCTTAATTATTTGCAAACAATTGATCAAGATGGGAATTTGAGAAAGGATATGCAAGGGCCATTGGGAGAGCTGCAATGCATTAAGAGAGCAAACAAAATTACCTTTAGATCTTACAATAAGAATTAACGATTGAGACGGGAGAGCTAGGCAGTACAGTAGCTGCCAGGGCTCTTTCTCCAGTGTTTCCCATTTGATCTGCATTAACACCTCAGGAATGAGTGAAAGCCATAAAACAGTGATTATGTATGGGTAAAGCTGACCCTCCCTTCCAGCATTCAATCTGCACACATGTATCAGGCTGGCTTCACTGGCGAGCAGAGATGCTGGGCTCAGAGGAGAAATAAGTGACTTGCGGGCAGTGAAAGCCCAGCTAAAGGGAATAACTCATAAAATGATCACCCTTATTTCAATTATCAACACCCTGGCTTCTCTTTTCCAGTGTAAGATTCTGGCTGAAATACAAACCATTTGCCACTCTTCCTGTGTTTCTGGATCTGACGTGTGAATTCTAATAATGACCTAGTAGAACAGTGATTGCTTAATAATCCCATCAAAGAATAAAATGATCCCCAGAGTATATGTCCTGTGTAATAGAAATAGTGAAAGTAATGTCTGAAAAAAAATCTAAAAATAGCTTATGTAAAAGTGAAGTCTGAACTGTCACTTTACCATCCTCGAAGAATAGACAGTGACAGCAAGAAAATGGCAAGTTTCTAAAGAA